TTTATGAAGTTTGGATATTAACCACTCACCATTACATGGTGAATATGTTTTCCCATTCAGTGGGTTGTCTTTCTCATTTTGTTGATGGTTTCCTTGGCTGTGCAAACATTTTTTAGTTTGATGTAGTCCCATTTGTTTATTTCTTCTTTTGTTTCCTTCGCCTGAGGAGATATATCAGAAAAAATAATGCTATAAGAAATGTCCAAGATTTTACTGCCTATGTTTTCTTCTAGGATTTTTATAGTTTTGAGTCTAACATTTTAAGTCTTCAATCCATTTTGAGTTTATTCTGGCATATGATGTAAGAAGGTGGTCTAGTTTCACTTTTTTGTATGTATCTATTCAGTTTTCCCAACATCATTTATTGAATACACTGTCTTTACCCATTGTATGTTCTTGCCTCCTTCATCAAATATTAATTGACTATAAAGGCATGGGTTTATTTCTGGGCTCTTTGTTATGTTCCATTGATCTAAATGTCTGTTTTTATGCCAGTACCATGCTGTTTTGATTACTGTGACCTGTAGTATAGTTTGATTTCAGGTAGCGTGATTCCTCAACTTTGTTCTTCTTTCTCAAGATTGCCGTGTCTGTTTGGGTCTTTTGTGATTCCATATACATTTTTGGAGTATTTGTTCCAGTTCTGTGAAATATATATCTTGATAGGAATTATGTTGAATCTATTGATTGCTTTGGGTAGTATGGACATTTTAATGATATTAATTCTTTCTATCCATGAACACAGTACATGCTTCCACATATTTCTGTCTTCTTCAGTGTCTCATAACTTTCCAGTAACAGGTCGTTTACATCCTTGGTTAAATTTATTCCAAGATATTTTATTTTTTTGATGCAATTATAAATGGGATTGTTTTCTTAGTTTCCCTTTCTGATAGTTCATTATTGGTGTATAAAAATGCAACTGATTTCTGGATATTTTGTATCCTGCTACTTTACTGAATTCATTTATCAGTTCTGGTAGTTATTTGGTGGAATCTTTAGGGTTCTCTATATACAGTATCATGTCATCTACAAATAAGACAGTTTTACTTTTTCCTTTCCAATTTGGATGCCTTTTATTTCTTCTTGTCTGATTGCTGTTGGGTAGGACTTCTGTACTATGTTGAATAAGAGTGGCGAAAGCAGGGGGGGTGGGGTGGGGGGTGCCAATGGGGTAAAAAGGTAAAATATCTGTAACAAAAAAATAAATAAATAAAGAAAGAAAGAAAGAAAGAAAGAAAGAAAGAAAAAAAATAATAATAATAAAAGAAGGCTATCCCTTATTGCCATTTATTATTTATTTACATCACTATGGGCCCATTACTATCTAATTTCATCTATGATAGTTTCATCTATGGATGATAATCCAGTACTATTATTAAATATTTTGTTTCTAAAAAAAAGAGTGGCGAAAGCAGATATCTCTGTCTTGTTCCCAATCTTAAGGGAAATGCTTTTAGTTTTTGCCACACCAACCAGGCAACATGTATTTCTTGAACACAGGTTAAATATTAGGAAGGAAGGATACTTAACATATAAATATTGGTGAAACCAACATGATATAAGCTACTACATTTTAATATATTTGCTTGTAAGGTGAGGAGGAATTAAATATGCCTATACTGTGTACATCCACTCTGATTGATACTTTGGGGGCCCCCAGAAACTATTTGGTTCCTTGTGAACAAGTTCTTATGATGAAAGTGTTTTCATCCTGCAAGGGTTAATGTTCTTTCTTCGAGTTAGCTCTTCTCTTCTCACCAGAATCTGAAGAGTTCCAGATTGACTCTGTTGCAGGGACAGTATTAGTACATTGGGAATTTATTCCTGCTCATTTTCTTTAACAGCTTTCTGTTCAAAATCAGGAATTTGAGACAAATGAAGATGGAATCCCGAAAGTGGATCAGTTTCGTTTGGTATGTGACTTTTTTGTTATTTACTTGTTGGAAATGTGATATAGATGTGTAGTAGTAATGTAGGCTTAAATATTTGACTGAAAAATGTCTTCTAATTTTTGTAAGAATGCCAAATAGCATTCACAATAAAGAAATACTGAAAATGATTTAAGTCCTTACTTAAATGACTGCCAGAGAATTACTACTAGAGATGACTAGCTGGAATGTATTTTTCACACAAATTAGATAAATAATTTAAGTAACAATTAAGGAAAAAATAGTCTTTGCTATATCTTCCAAGATAATGCTGTATTGAAATTAATGTTTTTATAAATATCTAGCCATATCTTTTCTTTGTGACACATCTGTGTCATTCATATATATATATATATATATATATATATATATATATATGCAGCAACATATTTTGAATACCTATTCTATACCAGGAATTGAACTATAGGGGCTGGATTACCAGGATTGCAGCATTGAAGAAATTAATAATTTGGAAATGTAAACAAGTAAACAACCAAGATCTATAAATAGAGTATTGAGAAAGTACTTTGGAGAGAGAGGGGGAGGGAACAGGTAGGTCACAAATGGCATCAAGTAGTTATTTGAGGTGAATTTTCAAGATTGAATTAGGAGTTTATATGAGGTAGAGTGAGGAGATAGGTATTTCTGGTAAAGACAGTAGCCTGCACTAAGACATGAAAATACTAAATCTTTTGAAGTGGAATAATTCAGTATGACTAGATACTAAGAGGTTAAATAATGCAGTAAATGAGTCTATAAAAGTATAAAGTTCTCATGCTATTTTAAAAAAAATATATAATATTTTACCACTGTTTTTTTAAATGACTTTTTTTTTTTTTAACGAGCAGTTTTTAAGTTCACAACAAAATGGAGAGGAAGGTACAGAGATTTTTCATATACTTCCTTCCCCCACATAATGCATAGTCTATCCATTATTAACATCCCCCACAAGAGTGGTACATTTGTTACAACTAATAAACCTACATTGACACATTATTATTACCTAAAGGTTATCATTTACATTAAGTTTCATTCTTGGTGTACATTCTTATGGGTTTGGACAAATAGGTGATGACAGATGTAGCCACTATTATAGAATTATACAGCTTTAACAGTTGTATAATTCTATTCATAATTGTCAAAACCTGGAAGCACCCAAGATATCCTTCAGTAGGTAAATGGAATAAATTGTAGTACATCCAGGCACACTATTTATTTTTGCCCTAAAAATCCTCAGTGTTCTGCCTGTTCATCTCTACCTTCCCCAGATCCAGGTAACCACTGATCTTTTTATTGACTCCATAGTTTTGTTGCTTTTTCCAGAATGTCATATAGTTGGAATCATACAGTATGTAGCCTTTTAAGATTTTTTCCCCCCATTTAGTAAAATACATCTAAGGTTCCTTCAGGTCCTTTTATGGCTTGCTAGCTCATTTCGTTTTATTGCTGAATAATAATTCCATTGTCTGGACGTACTACAGTTTATTCCATTCACCTACTGAAGGATATCTTGGGTGCTTCCAGGTTTTGACAATTATGAATAAAGCTGCAATAAACATCCATGTGCAGGTTTTTATGAGGACGTAAGTTTATTTCCTTGGGTCAGTACCAAGGACTGCATTTGCTGTATCATATGGTAAGAGTATGTTTAGTTTTGTAAGAAACTGTCAAACTGTTTTCCGAAGTGGCTGTACCATTTTTCGTTCTCACCAGTAATAAAAGAGAGCTCCTCTTGCTCCACATCCTTGTTAGCATTTGGTATTGTAAGTGTTCTGAATTTTGGCCATTTTTAAAGATGTGTAGTGGTGTCTTCTTGTTGTTTTAATTTACATTTCCTTGATGACAGGTGATGTGGAGCATCTTTTCATATGCTTATTTGCCATCGATATATCTTCTTTGGTGAGGTGTCTGGCAAAGTCTTTGGCCCGTTTGTTAAACATGTTGTTTTCTTATTATTGAGTTTTAAGAGTTCTTTGTGTATTTTGAAAAATAATCTTTTATCAGATATATCTGCAAATATTTCTCACAGTCCATGGCTTGTTGTTTTTTAATTAATTTATTTTCTTGACACTGTCTTTTGCAGAGCATTAATTTTTACTTATAATGGAATCCAGTTTATCAGTTCTTTCTTTCATGGATTGAAGGTTATTGCCAAATCTTAGTTCATCTAGGTTTTTTCCTGTGTTATCTTCTTGGAGTTTTATAGTTTTTTGTTTTATAGTTTAGATCTGTGATCTATTTTGAGTTAATTTTTGTGAAGTGTGTAAGGTCTTTGTCTAGATTCATTATTTTTTTCATGTGGATGTCCAGTTGTTCCAGGACCATTTGTTGAGAAGACTATCTTTTCTTTGTATTGACTTTTCTCCTATGCAAAGATCAGTTGATTATATGGGTATATTTTGTTTCATTGATCTATTTGTTTATTGTTTTACCAAAACCACACAGTGCTGATTACTGTAGCTTTACAGTAATTCTTAAAGTTGGGTAGTTGACTTTTAGAGGTTGCTTTTCTACTTGTTCTGCAATTGTGTTTTATGATTTTGTAAAATTTTACAATCTATGAGAGGGAAAGCTTAAGGAATAATTTTTTTTTTTTTCTTGTGGTACATGCCCCTAGCAGGAACCGAACCTGGGACTCTCTGGTCCACAGGCCAACACTCAGTCGCTGAGCCAAACTGGCCAGGACAAGGAATAATTTTTTGTATTTAGTAATTTTGGAGAATTAAATAATTAAACTATTTTTTTCTAGTACTTCTGTAATTTTATTTTTGAAATTTAGATTTTTGATACATTTGGAATTATCCTGGTGTTTGGTTGGAGGGATGTATCTGATCTTATCTTTTTCCATTCGGTAGCCATTTGTCCCAATACCTTTTATTAAAAAGTTATCCCCTTTCTCCTTTGGAAAATGTCATGATTTCATATACTGAAAATACATTTTGTGTAGGGAGTATATTTTTAGTTTTTCTATTTTGTTCTGTTAGCTTATTCATATTACAGTGCAATATTTTTTCAATTAACAGACTTTGTAGTATCTTTCAATACTTGAGAGGGCAAGTTTCTTCCTTATTGCTATTTTTATCCAATCTTTCATGTCTCTTCTTACTTATTATTCTTCCAAAAGATCTTTACGGCTGACTTATTTAGTTCCAAAGGAGGGGAGGGAGGGTCAGTGATTGTTTTTTTATTGAAATCATGTAATTATAAATTAACAGGGAAAATCGACACATTTGAAATGAGAGTCATTTTGTCTAAAAACATGACATGATTTTCTACTTGTTCTAAATCTACTTTTGTGGTCCTCAAGAGCATATGCTATTTTTTATCATTTAGATTTTGTAATTTTTAGTTATGTTTATACCTATCTCTTTAAATATGTTTAAAATGATATTCTGTAGAGTGCATTATGGGCATTGGCATTCATTCACTTAGCAGATGAATGTCGGCTATATTCCTGGCACTGTATTTGTTTTGGGGGATGAAGTGATAAGCGAAAACTTCTGATCTTAAGGATCTTTGAGTCCAATGAGGACACTAGCAATAAATAGGTGATTTTCATTCACTGTGAAATGTGCTCTGATTGGAGTCATCATAGGGGCCAAAAAAGGCATAACCAGGTGATTTGGGAGGTAGAAGTCATGGAGGAGCAACATTGTGGTGTTGTTTAAATGTGTTAATACTAAAAAATGTTCTTTGAAATAGTGGCACATAATTCTGACTCTTATAATGATGATGATAATGGTAGTGGTGGTAGAAGAGTTCCCAGGGGAGATCACTTCAACACTGAAACCAGAGGCAGCTGACCAGGTAAAGCAGGTACCCATCCGGACAGAGGAGCTTCAGTGTAAAATTTTTATTATGTCAAACTCTGACCAGTGTCCTGAAAGAGAAGGGAAAGGGGAAGTAATAAAATGTCCTTTTTTGTAATTTCACTTGTTTTTGAGGTATTTTAGCTGTGATTCTTTTGTAAGTCAATTCTATTGTTTTATTCCTGAGTAATTTATTTCTAATAAAAACTGGTTGAATTTCATAGAAATCTTTAAAAATCTAAATTGGAAAAATTGACCTTAGATCTGTATCATTGGTTGAAAGTGTTTTTGAATTGGATCCTCCTTCCTTATTGCAGGTTTGTCCTTTTAATTGTTTGTTTTGATTTTATTTTTGTTTTGTAACATCTCTTTTTCCTTGCAGGGTGATAATGTCAAATCCCTCCTCTGTAGCTTGATCTATTGTAGAAGTTCAATGACTGCTGAGCAAGTTTTGAATGCTGAATGTTTCTTGTTACCAAAGGGGAAATCAACTCCAAACCCAGAAAAAGATATTAAATATACCCAACATAAAGAGGAAGAGGAATTAAAGTTGGAGAACTTGGATAAATATAAAGAAAAGACAAGAAGTGGTGAAGCCAACTTTGATTGATAGATTAGGATTCTTTTGTTGTTGCAGATGTTCCTTTTAAAAACTTTATTTAGTTTGGTTAAATAAACAAAAGAATCTGGAAGTGTTCTGTAGCTAGTTGGGCTGTGTGTTTGGTATTCCAGTTTTGAAAAATAAAAAATGTTTGGCTATGCAAAAAGTTGTATACTTTGAAATTTCATTCAACTGGAGGTATTAAGGAAGGATTTTCTGTCTGTATTATTTTTTGAAATTGCATAAGTAGACTATTATACTTGTAATAGAAAAGGTTATTAGATTGTCGGACAGAGCCTATATGTTGTATTAGTATGTTGGCCAGCTGATGATGAAGGGTGATGCTTTTGTTCAATAATGACAGTTTGCTTCTGCTTTGTACCCATTCTGGGGATATAAAGATAAGTAAAACATGGTCCTTACACTTACAAAGCACATAGTCTATTGAGCAAGTAAGAAATATACACATTTTCATAATATAATATGGAACATCCAATGATAGCTCTGGACAGAGCCTTATGGAATTAAAGGGGAGGGGTACTTATACTGTGGAAGAGGGGTATCAGGGAAAGATTTCTGGAGGATGGTAATACCTTAGTTAAATCCTAAAGGATGAGTAATAAAGGTCAAGGTGGGACAAGAGTATCTTAATTAGCAGAGAAGACATGATGAAAAGCACTGAAGGGAGAAACAATTTGTTGTGTTTAATAGTATAAAACCTGTCCTGACCAGTTTTTCTTAGTGGTTAGAGCTTCAGCCCTTGGACCAAAGGTTTGGTTTGATCCCTGGTCAAGGGCACATACCTGGGTTGCAGGTTTGATCCCTGGTCCTGGTTGGGGCATGTGAGGAAGGCAACCAATTTATGTGTCTCTCTCACATTGATGTTTCTCTCTTCCTCCCTCCTTTCCACTTTATCTAAAAATCAATGGAAAAATATCCTTGGGTGAGGATTAACACACACACACACACACACACACACACACACAATAGTATATCTCAGGCACAAAATAGTCATATAGGTAAATCAGGGCTTTGTATGAAATAATAAAAGGCTTGCACCTAATAATTTTATAGGAAATGTGGAGTCACTGAAGAATTTTAAACAGCTTTAGTTCCCTCAAAGTCTACCTTCTACCTACTACCAGGATAGACAATAGGGAGAGTGGATAGAAGGGTATATAAAGAAGTAGGTGACAAATGATGAAAACAGATCTAGGGAAGTAGAAATATGGGAAAAATTTATGAAGTAATTATGAGGCAAATCAGTTGGACTTGGTGATTAAATATATGTAGACTAAAGTATGGTAGTGTCTCTAGTTGCCTATTCAAAATAGAAGAAATTTTCTTCTTAGCAATAGATTCCAATTTTATTTGGGGTAGCATTGTACTTGGCTAAAATATTATATTTACCCTTTTGCCTTTACCCCTTGCCTATTGTTCAGAAGTTAACATGATTGTTAGAATTTGAGTAGCGTCCTTAGGATGAAACCCATGAGCTAGGATGACTGGGCAGCAAGGTTGAAGGAGCTGGTGTCCCTAATCATTTTGTTGCCTCTGTGCTAGTCTCAAGATTTCATGTTAGGGAGAGAATAAACCCTTACATCAGAGTGAGTTCCTGTACCAGCAGCCTCAGAATTATCTGGGAACTTACTAGAAATACAAATTCTTAGCTCTACCCCAGACTTACTAAATGAGAATTTCAGGGTGGAGCCTGGCAATCTGTGTTTTATCAAGTGCTGTAAGTTATTCTAATGCATTAAAGAGAACCATTGCCACACATTCAAGCCATTGCTACCTTTTGGGTTTCCTGTTTTATAGTAGAACTTAATCTTAGCTGATTCAGTAATGAAGACACGATGATTAGTTTTAAAGCAAACTTAGATAATTAAAGGGAACAAAGAATAGATTGCTTAATTTATGCTATTTTAAAGAATTAGAAAAGTATTTTCCAAATGTGTTCTGCTGAACACAAGTCCCTTGGGAGGTTCAGCACAAAAACAATTCTGTTAGTTGTTTGGAAAGTAATGAATACTAAACTGGAGATTGAAAAGGTTCTAAAAATTTCTCTAGAAGAGAAATCTGTCTCGTCTTTAGCCCAGCATTTGCCAAAATTGACAGTGAACCCCCCCTTTTCACATAATACCCAGCAACTTCTGTTTTGTGAAACTAGGAAGAGATTTGGAATTTGTGGCATATTAAATTAGTATTTATTTTTATTTCAAGTTTCAAAATTACAACTACTAATGTGTGGTGTAAGACAAATTCCTAAGTATCTCTTTAGTGCCATACATGTTTCTTGAAATAGGTATATGTGTGTGTAAGAGAAGTGCAAAGGCAGACAAGTGGGTTTACTGCCCACAAGAGAGTAAGTGATGTAATGAAGTATATAATAAACTATAAGAAGAGAAATAATTATGTCTCCACAAAGGAGGTAAGGAAGAGAGGAATGATGAAGTTGAGGAATACACATCTGACATATTTTAGAAGAGCACTATAATTCCATTTGTTTGGAATTGGAAGAAGGTATTCCAGGCCAAGCAAATGAAGGGAGCTAAAAGGGTATATTTGGGACAGGAAAAGGCAAAAATTTGGCTGGAGAGTAGGACATTCCTGGGAGAGCTGAGAAATGAACTTGGAAAAGTATATGGGGGACACACCATAGAGGGTTGTGAGTTACTCTATAAGAAATTGGACTTAAAAATTTGGAAGCAGTTGAATCTCACAGTCCTGTTTGTTTTAGAATAAAATAGCTAACAGGATGATTTGGGCAGGGAAATAATGGAGGTAAGGAGACAGTCAAGGATAGCACATTTCACTAAAGTACTTGAGGAGAAGAAAACATCCTGTTTTAGATCAAGGTATTCAAAAGGAGAGAATTAAAGAGTATACACTCTTTCTCAAAAAGTCATGGGCAGCTTTTGGTCCATTTTATAGTATCAGTGCTAAGTCATTTCAGTGTGTATTTAAGTGTTAATATTGATAAAATTTATTAGGATTTCCCTTTTAACTCATCAAATGACATGCTTTGTCATCTCTTAGTTGTTGATATAACTATATCTGCTGCCATTAAAACTACACGCGCAAAGCAGTTCTGGAATGGTGGAGCAGCAACCTCTGAAAATGTAAAAGCACTAAGAACACTGGCAAAAATTGTCAAAACCACCTTTTTAGAACTCTGGGAATTAACTGAGGACTTGCAACAATTAGAAGAGCATTTATTCAAGAAAAGCAGCTGAATCTTGGTAAGAATGACAAGCTTTGTAGTGTTTTAACTTGCTCTGTTCTCAACCCCTGCCCCCAGCTCTGCTGTAGCCTTGTGAATCAGAAGCCTCACAATGATGTGAGCTCTGATGGCCTAATAGCCAGTGGAAGTTGCAAAATGTTTTGAGCTCCTCAGAAAGCTCTAGAATTGTCACTATTTACCTGTCTGGCTGCTACCTGGACAATTCCCATTCACAGGGATTGTTTCTATTTGACCTGACTCAGAGCTTGCTCAGTGGGAAAAATACTTTTCCCAGGGTACTTAGAAAAATCATGGCAGTTATTTAGCATTACAGCTTCCTGAGGTGGTGATAACTGTTGAGGAAAACAATTTAATGAGAAAATCTGGGAGTGATGTTCATAGGGTGAATTGAAAAACAACAAATTCCAGGGGTTCTTAAAGCCATGCATATGTCTAGGGTTGTGTGCATACTCAGGCAAGATATTTATTTATCCTCACCCGAGGACATTTTTGCATTTATTTTCAGATAGAGCGAGAGGGAGAGAGGGAGGAAGAGAGAGAGGGAGAAATACTGATGTGAAAAAGACACATTGACTGATTGCCGCCAGCCAGCATGACCCCAACCGGGGCCGGGGAAGAACTGCAACCAAGGTACGTGCCCCTGGTGGGAACCGAACCGGGGAATCTGGTCTGCAGGCTAACTCTCTAACCGCTGAGCCAAACCGGCCAGAACTCAGGCAAAATCCTGCAAAGCTCTTTGTTTTTCAGCTCTGGATGACCTCAAGGCTCTAGAAAACAGGATGTAGAGGTTAAGGCAGGTTTGTAAACTGCCAGAGTGTCGAAGATGTGCCCCAACATACATACAGCCTCTCAGCAAAGGAAAGGTTGAGAGATTTACTGGTTCCAGGCATTTAAGGAAATGTCTGTTCAGTTTTCAGCTTACCACTAAGCTAAGCTGCATTTGAATAGAGTATAGACTTCACAGTATCAATCCAGGAAATTTACTAGCAAACATTATTACTATAATTATCATTAACTAGCAGTAACAATAAACTCTAGATTGAGATGGGAAATCAGATTTCCAAAGTTGGAAATTAGTATATTAAATATGTTCAGTTTTACCCTGGCCAGTTTGGCTTGGCGGTTGGAGCATCGACCTGTGGACCAGTGAGTCGCGGGTTTGATTCTGGTCAAGGGCATGTACCTTAGTTGCGGTTCATCCCCGGCCCTGGTTGGGTTGTGTGGTA